TATAGCCCAAAACACTACATTTTAGCAGGAAAAGTAGGGGGGTCGTCTTATACGCCCAGTCGTCTTATACGCCGGCAAATACGGTAATAACAATAATAATGCGATGTAATGAAATACAATGTAATAACAATAATAATGCGATGTAATGAAATGCGATGTAATGAAATACAATGTAATAATAATAATAATAATAATAATAATGGGATGTATTGAAATACAATGTAATAATAATGCAATGTAATGAAATGCGATGTAATGAAATACAATGTAATAATAATGAGATGTAATGAAAATACAATGTAATAATAATGTGATGTATTGAAATACAATGTAATAATGTGATGTAATGAAATGCAATGTAATGAAATACAATGTAATAATAATAATAATAATAATAATAATAATGTGATGTAATGAAATAGAATGTAATAATGTGATGTCATGAAATACAATGTAATAATAATGCACTTTAATGAAATACAATGTAATAATGTGATGTCATGAAATACATTGTAATAATAATGCGCTGTAATGAAATACAATGTAATCATGACATAAAAATAATGCACTGTATTATTAGAGGCGAGTAAACACAACCATGTGGTTTGCCACAAATAACACATCGGTAACACCTTTATATGGCAATTTTACAACGCTCATGTGATGGTTATCCAGGTCCTATAATTGCCAGAGCTCGCGGCGGTAGGCGGTACCAAGCGGCATGTCATACACACATACACAAGGCTGTGGATAACGGGGTACCACCAATCCTCCTGTACTGGGCCGAGCCAGTAGGAGGGCCCAGGCAGCTGGGTGAATTGGATTTGGGCAGAAAGGGTGGTTGGAGGGGGGCAATTACTGGAACCGATCCCCTGTATGGCTCCCTCTGCAGCAGCTGAAAGCTTCTTCTGGCTTTCAGCTGCTGCCGAGAGAGCCATATAGGGGATTGATTCAAGTAGCTGCTCCCATCACCCTCCGTGTACACCATACATTTCCCCCTTGCTGCCCAGGCCCCCCTGGTGTGTCCCCCACCCCTGCAGTGCTGCCCGCTTCCCTCCTCTCCTTCGCACCGGTGGCTGCAAGCACACAACAGGATCCATTGGGATGGAGAGGGGGGGAAAGGTCCAGTAAACGTCACATGTACCAGCCCCTTCCTTTCCTGAATGAACACAATGGCTAATCAGTGCCACTCACTGTGTTCATTCATAACTGAAGCCTAGTAAACTGTGTTTGTTTGGGCGGGGGGGGGGGGGGAAGCTGTCAGGTTGGCTGTATGGGGTCACATAGTTTCTAACGTAGTGGTCCTTTATAAGAGCTACTGTCAGTCAATATAGAAGAACCACCCCCAAGCTTCTGAGTGCCAGGGGGTGGGCAGCCACATCTTTGGCAGCTGCAAAGTCTCACGGCTTTGAGCATCACCATGCCGCATGTCTTGAATGAATTGTAGATTACTAAGATTACTAAGCACAGTACGCTGCTGGAATGCCCGGCTATAGGACGACAGCAGGGCCCTTTCTAAGAGCTGTTGTCAATCATCGTAGAAGACCCACCCCTGAGTTTCTGAGCACTACCATATGGACAGCCATGGCTCTGGCAATTGCAAAATCTAAAAGGCGAACTTCAAAACTGAAAAAGAATTTTCCATCCCCCCTCCTAGAAAATGCATTAGGGACACTACATCAATCAGTGGAGAGGAGGGGGCGTGGCACTGTCGCAGTAGGTGTGGCCCTACATCTACAGTGGCAATGTTGAGCTGGAATAGAATGTTGCAGTGATGTCACACATGGTGAGATATGCTGCAGGTTTGATAGCAAGGCTCCTACTGGAAGCTGAAGGTCTGGGCAATGGGGGATGACCACTGATACTGACACCCCATGCATTGGCACATCTGCCTGTACCTCCAAGCAGCAATCCTCAAGGGATAGTGACCACGACAGCATGGATCTTCTTCTGTGCTTGGTATGGTCAGCTTGAAACAGGAACAGAAGGGAACTGGCTGGATCACCGTTGCAGGTTACATGTACTAAGAACTACATGGATAACCCAACACACGTATGCAATCTGAAAGAAGAGTTCTCACTTTTTTTTTTCGTGTCCCCCAGAGGACAGAGTATCTGTAGTAGTTTGTCCACGGTTCCTACTACCTTGTAGGCCTAGCTATGAGTTCGGACAGAGCATCCCCCCGTAGCAAAGCGATGACTGCTTGATAACCAGCTCTGGTCTCTGCGCCAATCACTTTTTTCCAGACAAAATGTCAGCAAGAGGAATGCAGAAGAGAAAGGCTGGACATGTCATCCTCCCATCCCTCTGCACTCCTCTTGCCGCTGCTTGTATCAGTTGGAGCAAGGAGATGACTGCTTGATAACCGGCTCTGGTCTCTGCGCCAATCACTTTTCCAGACAAAAATGTCGGCAAGAGGAACGCAGGAGGGAAGGTGGGACATTTCAGCCTCCCATCCCTCTGCACTCCTCTTGCCACTGCTTGTATCAATTGGAGCAAGGACATGACTGCTTGGTACCCAGCTCTGGTCTCTGCGCCCATGACTTTGAGACAAAATGTCAGCATGAGGAATGCAGGAGGGAAAGGCGCGACGTGCTATCCTCCCATCCCTCTGCACTCCTCTTGCCGTTACATAGTTAGTCTGGCTGAAAAAAGACAAAAGTCCATCCAGTTCAATGACTAAATAGCTCCTTTCATCAGTTGGAGCAAGAACATGACTGCTTGGTAACCAGCTCTGGTCTCTGCGCCAATGACTTTTAGAGACAAGAGGAATGCAGAAAAACGTGTCGGCAAGCCGCTGGAATGCAGAAGAGAAAGGCGGAACGTGTCAGCCTCCCATGCAGAAGAGAAAGGCCCTCTGCACTCCCACTCCTCTTGCCGCTGCTTGTATCAGTTGGAGCAAGGAGATGACTGCTTGGTAACCAGCTCTGGTCTCTGCGCCAATCACTTTTCAAGACAAAATGTCAGCAAGAGGAATGCAGAAGAGAAAGGCGGGACATGTCATCCTCCCATCCCTCTGCACTCCTCTTGCCGTTACATAGTTAGTTTGGCTGAAAAAAGACAAAAGTCCATCCAGTTCAACGACTAAATAGCTGCTTTTATCAGTTGGAGCAAGAACATGACTGCTTGGTAACCAGCTCTGGTCTCTGCGCCAATGATTTTTTAGAGACAAAATGTCGGACAAGAGGAATGCAGAAGAGAAAGGTGGGACATGTCATCCTCCCATCCCTCTGCACTCCTTTTGCATCAGTTGGAGCAAGGACATGACTGGCTTGTATTAGTTGGAGCAAGAACACGACTGCTTGATAATCAGCTCTGGTGCCAATCAGTTTTCCAGACAAAATGTCTGCAAGAGGAATGCAGAAGAGAAAGGTGGGACGTGTCATCCTCCCATCCCTCTGCATTCCTCTTGCATCAGTTGGAGCAAAGACATGACTGCTTGGTCACCAGCTCTGGTCTCTGCGCCAATGACTTTTCAAGACAAAATGTCGGCATGAGGAATGCAGAAGAGAAAGGCGGGATGTGTCATCCTCCCATCCCTCTGCTCTCCTCTTCTGCTCTTGCGCTGCTTGTATCAGTTGGAGCAAGGACACACGACTGCTTGTATCAGTTGGAGCAAGGACACGACTGCTTGTATCAGTTGGAGCAAGGACACGACTGCTTGTATCAGTTGGAGCAAGGACACGACTGCTTGTATCAGTTGGAGCAAGGACAAGGACACGACTGCTTGTATCAGTTGGAGCAAGGACACGACTGGTTGGTAACCAGCTCTGGTAACCAGCTCTGGTGTCTGCACCAATCACTTTTCAAGACAAAATGTTGGCAAGAGGAATGCAGAAGAGAAAGGCGGGACATGTCATCCTCCCATCCCTCTGCACTCCTCTTGCACCAGTTGGAGCAAGGAGATGACTGCTTGGTAACCAGCTCTGGTCTCTGCGCCAATCACTTATCCAGAGAAATGTCGACAAGAGGAATGTAGAAGAGAAAGGTGGGACGTGTCAGCCTCCCATCCCTCTGCACTCCTCTTGCCGTTACTGCTTGTATCAGTTGGCCGAATTTTGCTTGTTGCCGTGTTGTTGGACAGCCCCAGGGTGAGGGGGCAACCTGTTCGACAATGTAGCTATGCTTACAAAGCTTTCAATGTACTGAAGGCAGAGGATCAGTATGACAACCAGCATTTTTAGGAGGTCAGCAGAGCCCCAAACCACTTTCCCTTCAATTTCCCCCACAACAGGTTCCCTTTAAGGCCATGATGGTGATGTTCATTACGTGTTTCGGTCATGGATTACGGACTTCGGCTGTGGATTTTATGGAGAATAAAGAAACAGCATTCCCATAAAATGATTAAAGGACAGCATATTATTTAAAATCTTTTCAAATGGCTACATGCATAGAGTTAAGACATTTTACCTCCCTTCCTGATGGCTGCTCCACACCCTCACAATCTGCATGTCTCTGCTCATCTCCTCCGCTACATCATGGCTCATACAGGAGCAGAGCAGGGAAAACTCAATTTACTCAGCTGATGATGAGGAGTGGCCATACACAGGAGCAAATTTTCAAGTTGTCGCACACGTACCTAGCAGTTATGGGCACAACCAAAAGCATTTTAAAAAGTCTTTTCACAGAAAGCATTGTGGTAGTGCTAAAATGTTAACGATATAAATGGGACGTGGTCAGCTTATGTAAAAATAGTTTGTGGGGGGGGGGGGGGGGGGGTTTCGCCTACGTGATGGTGGTAGAATTGGGGCAAAGAGCAAAAGTTAGGAGAACACGTGTCCTTGGGTTTCAACATGAGCTTATGTTCCACACCCAACATTTGGGGATTTGTCTAGCATCTAGCACTGAAGCTTGCGGACAGTCCTGGAAAACCGCTTCATTTCCTTCTCTGTCTTCTGCCACTTGCGCACCCAGGTGATGACCAGTTTGTCGTCCACTCGGTGGCCCATGACCAGCACGGTGGTCCTGGGTTCCTGGAGGTCCAGACAGATGCAGCTGTCCCCGTCTGTCAGCCACAGGTAGGTCTTCTTCTTCAGTTCCTCCTCTGTCCACCCTTTAGCTTTGTACACGGTCCTGCTCTTCACTTCTGGGACCACCATGAGGTCCCCATCCAGGGTGGACGTTGAGTGGATGCTGATCTTCAGGGCTGAGAATGACAAGCGGATAAAGCAGTGGTGGTCAACTTACAAGGTATAGAAGGCCTCAGCTGTTGACCTCTGACATCTGCAACAGGGCTGCACATAACATTAAAGTGGACCTTCCACCTCAGTTTGCCTATTCAAGGTGCCCCAATGCTGCATAAAACCACCAGTGAGGTTAAAAATAGTTCAAATACTTACCTTTCCTCAGCTCCTCCCACAGTGCCTAGGTGAAGGTGATGTGATCTTCCTCTGGCCAGATCTCAAAGAATGTAGAAAAACCCAGATTTTGGGAGAAGATTATCCTACACTGTACTACAGCATCTTCTCATTTGGGCTATTCGGTATTCTCAGGGATCTTGTCAAAAAGAGCATGATGCCATCCCCTGAAATACGCAAATAGGAAAGGTCAAATTATTCTTCTCCTCAAAAGGTCCAGTACTGGTTCCAAAGTGTTTTAGCACCCAAATGCCAAAGTGTGCCTCACCATGAGCTGGAAACTACTTCATTGGCATAGGTTGCAGGTCTTGCCCTTTTTGCTCCCCCTCTTACTAAAGCACCAAAAGCACACCTCTTCTACCTACCCCTCAGTCTGATGCTGGCTGTTAGAGGCTTTAGACATACTAGAGATTAAAGTCAAAGACTGCAGACATACAGCACTACAGGAGGGAGTGGAGGCCGAAGACATACTACAGGAGGGGGTCGGGAGACCAAAGCCTTACTACAGGAGGGGGTCGGGAGACCAAAGCCTTACTACAGGAGGGGGTCGGGAGACCAAAGCCTTACTACAGGAGGGGGTCGGGAGACCAAAGCCTTACTACAGGAGGGGGTCGGGAGACCAAAGCCTTACTACAGGAGGGGGTCGGGAGACCAAAGCCTTACTACAGGAGGGGGTCGGGAGACCAAAGCCTTACTACAGGAGGGGGTCGGGAGACCAAAGCCTTACTACAGGAGGGGGTCGGGAGACCAAAGCCTTACTACAGGAGGGGGTCGGGAGACCAAAGCCTTACTACAGGAGGGGGTCGGGAGACCAAAGCCTTACTACAGGAGGGGGTCGGGAGACCAAAGCCTTACTACAGGAGGGGGTCGGGAGACCAAAGCCTTACTACAGGAGGGGGTCGGAAGACCAAAGCCTTACCACTGGAGGGGGTCGGAAGACCAAAGCCTTACCACTGGAGGGGGTCGGAAGACCAAAGCCTTACCACTGGAGGGGGTCGGAAGACCAAAGCCTTACCACTGGAGGGGGTCGGAAGACCAAAGCCTTACTACAGGAGGGGGTCGGGAGACCAAAGCCTTACTACAGGAGGGGGTCGGGAGACCAAAGCCTTACTACAGGAGGGGGTCGGGAGACCAAAGCCTTACTACAGGAGGGGGTCGGGAGACCAAAGCCTTACTACAGGAGGGGGGGGTCGGGAGACCAAAGCCTTACCACTGGAGGGGGTCGGAAGACCAAAGCCTTACCACTGGAGGGGGTCGGAAGACCAAAGCCTTACCACTGGAGGGGGTCGAGAGACCAAAGCCTTACCACTGGAGGGGGGGGGGGGGGGGGGGGGGAGTCGGAGACCAAAGCCTTACTACTGGAGGAGGGTCGGAGAGCAAAGCCTTACTACTGGTGGGGGGTCGGAGACCAAAGCCTTACTACAGGAGGGGGTCGGAGAGCAAAGCCTTACTGCATGAGGGGGTCGGAGACCAAAGCCTTACTACAGGAGGGGGTCGGAAGACCAAAGCCTTACTACAGGAGGGGGTCGGAGACCAAAGACTCACTACAAGAGGGATTGGAGACCAAAGACATGCTGCAGGATTGGTTGAAGAAGACATACGACAGGATTGGTTGGAGAAGACATACTACAGGAGTGGTTGGAAAAGAAATACTACAGGAGTGGTTGGAAAAGAAATACTACAGGAGTGGTTGGAGAAGAATACTACAGGAGTGGTTGGAGAAGACATATTACAGGAGTGGTTGGAGAAGACATACTACAGGAGTGGTTGGAGAAGACATATTACAGGAGTGGTTGGAGAAGACATATTACAGGAGTGGTTGGAGAAGACATATTACAGGAGTGGTTGGAGAAGACATATTACAGGAGTGGTTGGAGAAGACATATTACAGGAGTGGTTGGAGAAGACATACTACAGGAGTGGTTGGAGAAGACATACTACAGGAGTGGTTGGAGAAGACATACTACAGGAGTGGTTGGAGAAGACATACTACAGGAGTGTGGAGTTGACATACTACAGGAGTGGTTGGAGAAGACATACTACAGGAGTGGTTGGAGAAGACATACTACAGGAGTGGTTGGAGAAGACATAAATACAGGAGTGGTTGGAGAAGACATACTACAGGAGTGGTTGGAGAAGACATACAGGAGTGGTTGGAGAAGACATAAATACAGGAATGGTTGGAGAAGTCATACTACAGGAGGGATTGGAGAAGACATACTACAGGAGGGAATGGAGAAGACATACTACAGGAGGGATTGGAGAAGACATACTACAGGAGTGGTTGGAGAAGAAATTAGGGAGACATATCACAGGAGTAGTTGGAGAACACATAACACAGGAATGACTGGAGACTGAAGACATACTACAGGAGTGGTTGGAGAAGACATAATACAGTAGAGGTTTGAGACTGAAGACATACTACATGCTATTCAAAGTCTTAACACTAGCTATTAAGTCATTGGTCTCCATGCGGGATGTAGTCCTGTTGAACCCTCTATTAGAATATGGGGAAAATTAATTTTTTCTGATGAAACCATTAGCTCATCTCCTACAATGGAGTCCTAAGCACCAGGAAAAGACCTAGAGGAAATATCTCCACCCAAAATAGATATATTTCAGGTGAGAGGTTTTTTTACACTGCCAGTGCTGCTTCTGACTCATTGCCAACTGAAAGTCCATTTCTCCATAATGTTTAGTCACAAATCACACATTAACTTTATTTTGCCTTGGCTGCCGTGGTAGACTTTTAGTCAGTTGCCCTTGTGGTATAGAGAACACCAAGCAAGATGTAGAAAAAGCTGAAGCTCCACAACTGGGACTGCTGCAGACTGCAACATGGGGGAGAAAAGTACAATGAACACCCCGTACTCATCAAATCCCCAGATCTATCACTTAAAGTTTAACCAAAGCCAAAACTTTGTTTCAGTTTTGGATATCGTAATGGGTGGATAGAACCCTTATCACTTATTTTTCAATGAGGGGAAATCTTACAGTTGTCACCAGAACAGATGTTCCCTTAGCAAGGTTCCCCCTATGTTTCTAACGTGGTGATAACAGTAAAACATTTGATATCCCATCACTTCCTGTCCTGTTGACAACGTGTAAGTTATTGGATATGCTCATATCGCCCAGCATTTCAATGGAGCTTTGGGGAGTAAAAGACAGCTGAGTATGTCCAGATTGGTAAGGAATGGCTTAAGTAAAGCTGCTGATTTGCTCTGCCTGGATAAGTTGTCCTGTGTGGACGGGCTTTGGGCTTGTATGGATTGCATCAGTCTGAAACCAGTCTGAGATGCTTCTGAGATTGCTCAGAATTCACTGGAGTTGACAGTTGACCTGCAGTTTACTTCCATTTGGACGGATTCACTCACAGACCAGCTTTTCTCAACCTTAATACCCCAGTGGAACCCTTACGATCATTTTAGCAGGGGTTCCTTGAGACATAAACATTATTTCATCTACAGCTCTGAAACAAAATACTAATAAATTGTCAGAAAATAAATGAAAGCAGTAAAGATTGTAGCATTCTCCTACATTGCAGGTCATAGGAAAAATGCTCACTGCCAACAATGGCCAGTAGACAACCCGTATATCCCCATTAAATGATGGCAGTAGACAAGGCCCCATTACATTGATGGCCAGTGGACAAGTTTCCTTTCCATTGATGGCCAGTGGACAAGGTCCCCTTCCATTGATGGCCAGTGGACAAGGTCCCCTTCCATTGATGGCCAGTGGACAAGGTCCCCTTCCATTGATGGCCAGTGGACAAGGTCCCCTTCCATTGATGGCCAGTGGACAAGGTCCCCTTCCATTGATGGCCAGTGGACAAGGTCCCCTTCCATTGATGGCCAGTGGACAAGGCCCCCTTCCATTGATGGCCAGTGGACAAGGCCCCCTTCGATTGATGGCCAGTGGACAAGGCCCATTTACACTGATAGCCAATGGACATACTCACTTCCATTGATGACCAGTGGACAAGGTCCCCTTCCATTGATGATGACAAGGTCCCCTTACTGTGTGGACATGGTCCCCTTTCATTGATAGCCGGTGGACATGGTGGACAAGGTCCCCTTACATTGATGGCCGGTGGACAAGGTCCCCTTTAATTGATGGCCGGTGGACAAGGTCCCCTTTCATTGATGGCCGGTGGACAAGGGTGGCCGGTGGACCCCTTTCATTGATGGCCGGTGGACAAGGTCCCCTTTCAAGGTCCCCTTTCATTGATGGCCGGTGGACAAGGTCCCCTTTCATTGATGGCCGGTGGACAAGGTCCCCTTTCATTGATGGCTGGTGGACAAGGTCCCCTTCCCTTGATGGCTAGTGGACAAGGCCCATTTACACTGATGGCCAGTGAACATACTCCACTTTCATTGATGACCAGTGGACAAGGTCCCTTTCCATTGATGGCCAGTGGACAAAGCCCCCTTATATTGATGGCTGGTGGACAAAGCCACATTACATTGATGGAAGAGAAGAGGAGTTCTTAGGGCACATCTGCCTTGGAGACCAGTGGTGGGAGACAGTGGGAATAGGCACTAGAGCAGCACTTTCAGCAGTAGAAGCGTGACTCTGGGCAGAACAGAAGAGAAAGAAGGTGCTTCTAAGTGCAGTACATCCACATGTTTATTTGCAAAAATGGTTAAAACCACTTACAAAAGGGTGATATGGCTTAGGCATGTAGAACGTCAATGCACATCCCGGAAGTGACATCAATGGTGGGCTGTGATGCATTTCAGAGCATGCGCAATAGCTCCATCATCAAAACCATGATGAAGACCGTCTAGAT